AGGGCTTCATTTTTTCCTGTGTTGGAAGTTACAAAACCCGTTATTGGATCTGCTGACAAAGTCGCAACGCAGAGGACATATTACATCTACTGCAATAGGAAGTCGTCCTTATTCCTGGAAAACTCACGCTTCCCTACGTGGGAAGAAACGAGGGGAGGGGGAACATAAAGCGAAAGGCAACAATGGGTGAATCTGAGAATGGATACACACATGTTCTTTGTACATGTCCTGTAACTTTTCCAAATACAGGTTTTTAAAGCACTGTGTCCTGGAGGACTGGATTCTAAGCCAATCTGTCCCTCTGCTCACTCCTTTCATGACCTAGCAGGCATTCTTTCTGTTTTCTAGTCCAGATGGCTTCTAAGGTTCTCTGGCTCTGGCAATCAAAGTCTCAACTCTGAGGGCGTTTCCAGACAGGGTTTTAGAGAAAGGACAGCCTTTAGCTTTCTGCAATTTGTCTTCAGTCCACCAATTATTTCATCACAACTTCTCCAAAGAGTCCACCGGTTCTCTTTCTCCCGCTGCAAGTTTGCCTTTGCCATCTTTGCCAGCGGTCAGAGGCCCGGCCCCTCTTCCTAGTGCCCTGGGGCTTATCCTCCCAAAGTCCCTAACTTGGTGGAGGACAGGCACGTGCATTTATCAACCGGGAACTACACCCCCCAAAAGGCTCTGCGGCAACATCCCACAGGTTACCACCAAAGAGAAAAGTCTTTTCTGCGCGGGACCAAAGGCCGTACGGTCTTTGGGAATTGTAGTTCACCTATGAGAGAACTCCGGGTCCAGCACCAGGCTGCAAACTACGCTTCCCAGAATTGACTGCGCTCCGGCCCACCAATAGAAAGCGCGGGTCTTGGAGAAGGGACGGGGAAAGGGGCGGTGCGGCGCGGCGCTTGCGCAGTAGGCGCGGCTGGGGAATTCATGTGGAGGTCAGAGTGGGAGCAGGTGAGAGCGGTGAGTTGATCTAGGCCTGTGACTGGGCGTCTCAGAAGTTCTCCTTTGCTTGCTTATACTCAGTTTGGGCCCGTGGGGTGCATGCTTGGGTCTGCCTTTGAGGGAGGGGAAAGGAACTGAGCCCAGGAGGAGCCGGGTTTGCACAGGGGCAGGAAAAGTCCAGAAGCTGTTAGCAATGGAAAGGATTGGTGTCGGGTCTCAGGCGGAAGACGTGCGATCAGGGCTCCGGAGCTGGGAGCCGAGGTCTGAGCGGGAGGGAGGGAGGGTTTGCGCGCCGGGCAGTGGCGGCTTTGGGGCGGGGCATTAGAAAGTTTCCAGGGAGGCCCAATCGCTCCGGCCCCCGCCACCCTGGTGTGCAGCGCTCCGCCCGCTGGGCAGCTCCTTGGGGCCTTAGGGTCCGGTGGGTCCTCCGGTAATCCTGGTCCCAGAATGCCGTCCTGCGTGGGTAACAGCGGGTCATTCCTATACCAGGATGTCGGGAAGCGGTGTGAGGAGAGGAGCTCGACTCTCCTCGGGAATTAAGCCCCAGTCCTAACCCTGTTCGAGCCACCGCTCTGCACCTGAGAGTTTCCTCCTCTGCAGTAATCATTGCATAGCTGTTACTGTTTCTTTCGTTGCTGCCATTGTCGCTGTAGCACATTCTCGGAGTTGTTTTCCCCAGCGAAGTTTAATCAGAATGAACCATCCTGGGGGCCTCTGTCCAAAAATGAGCATGTGGTTTAGTAGGGTACAGGCTTCTCTATGGGTGTGAAGTCCACGCCTCGTTCCCGTTGTTGAATAGGGTCTTCCAGACCCTGCTCCTTGTGAGACTCCAAAGGAGAAGCTGCGGGAGAAAATCAGCAAAGCGGTCCTGGCACTTCGCTAGATCCGGAATGTATTTCCTTAGTAGGTCTTCAGCGAGTGGCTGGGGAGTGGGAAGTGAGCAGCCAGCTTGTGTGAGGGATGTGAGCCCTCGAGGTTGAATCCTTCTACTTTGTTTCGTTTTACTCCCTTAGGCGTGAGTGGGGCCAGCAGAAGGAAACATGGCTGCGAAAGTGTTTGAATCCATCGGCAAGTTCGGCCTGGCCTTGGCCGTGGCAGGAGGCGTGGTGAACTCTGCCTTATACAATGGTGAGCCACTGAGGCTAGGATGGGGTGTCACCGCCTTCAGCCCCTGGGGCAGGGCCCTGTGTGGCCTGTGCCACGTTCCACGTGGCAGCTGCTGGCTGTGATATGTTTGTGGCTGAGAGCACCGCGTGGCTGTAGTCTTACCAAGCCCTGTCCCGTTGGTCACTGTTCTCCTAGAGCGTCCAGGTTACTGTCTGGCTGTGTCCCACAGCGTGTGTCGGCTTGCAGGGACCCTGCACCACCCAGTGCTGCTTCTGCGTCCGGGTTTCTCTTGCTAGTGGGAAAGAGGATCAAATCTCTTCTGCCTGCGCATGGAATTTGTCAGCTCAGGCCTGAGACCCATGTGGGTGACCTGGAGCCGAACAGGAGCTTTTTCTCTGCTCATTCCAAAGAAAATGGCTTTGACATGCACTGCCCCATTTCCCCAGCAAGGCCAGGCTTTTTTTTTTTTTTTTTTTTTGGTGCTAGGAATCGAACTCGGGACCTTGTGCTTATCTAGTAGGCACTGTGCCACTGAGCTATATCCCTGACCCAAGGCCAGGTTTTGTTTGTTTCTTTTTTTAAGGCCAGGTTTTTATTTATTTATTTATTTTTGCAGTACCAGAGATCAAACTCAGGACTTTGTGAACTCAGGACATTGTGCTTTCCAGGCAGGCTGAGCTATCTCTCTGACCCAAGTTTTTTTGTTTGTTTGTTTGGTTGGTTGGTTTTGGGTTTTGTTTTGTTTTTTCTGTCTTTTTTTTTTTTTAATTTATTTTATTTATTTATGTGTGTGTGTATATGTGTGTGTGTGTGGCCAGCTCAGCCCACCAGGGGGCGGGGCGGGCTGGCATGTGGTGCTGGGGATTGAATCCCGGGCACAGTGCTTTTGCTTAGCGTAGCTTGTTCTAAGTAGGTGCTTTAGACCACTGAGCCATCTCACCAGCCCTTTTCCGTCTTTTTGAGACAGGGTCTCACTGTGCAGCTTACACTGGACTTGAGCTCTGGCCTCACTCTGTAGCTCCAGCTGGTCTGGAATTCACAATGATCCTCCTGCCTCAGCTTCCCGAGTGCTGGGATTACAGGCATATGCCACCACACCCAGCTAAGGCCAAGTTTTATGCTGGCTCTTCTTTCCCTTTACTTTGAGGCCTCATATCGCTTCTGCCTCTCCATAAGCCTCAGCTTCCTCACCCTTCAAGCAGTGAGGTAGAGCTAGTTTATCTCCAAGACCACCTCCAAGTCCACCATTCTATAATCCCCATGGCACAAAGCAGCGGTAGTGTGACCTGCCTGGTGGGTGCCTAACAAGAGAATTATGTTGGCTGAACATGGTGCCATATACTTGTAGTCCCAGCATTGGAGAGGCTGAGGCAGGAGGATCTCTATGAGTTTGAGGCGAGGCTGGGCTACATAATAGCTCAAGGCCAGCCTGAATACATGCTGAGACCTTGCCCCACAAAAAAGGGGCGGGGGAGTGGGGTTATTTTTAGAGGAAAGGTATTTGTTGGAGTAGCACTGAAGTATAGAGAGGGAAAGACAGAGCAGCTAATTAGGAAAGCCTGGGCCAGGGAGGTGGCTCAGTGGAATAAGTGCTTCCCTGGCAAGTGCAAGGGCCTGAGTTCAATCCCCGGTTCCGCCAAAAAAAAAAAAAGGAACGCCTGCTTGGGGCCTAGCTCCTATTGCTGCTCCGACCTTCCTACCCTGTGCATCTGCAGAGCTGCGTGGCTGGTGCCATCGCTGAGTGAACAAGGTGGTGCTGAGATTTTAGAGAAAGTGCACTACTGGGAGAAAGAACAGGGCCTACATGTTAGGGTTCCTGTAGTAAGGATACTGCTTCTGGGAACACTGGGGTACCCTGGAGCCAGGTTGGCCTCAAGGGAACAGTGAGATTTCTGTGGCTGCAGGATTTTGGGTGGCTGATTCCTGGAAGTGTGCTGGTGAGAGATGGGGTGGGTGGTCAGAAAGCCAGGAGCCGTTCTTTGAAGGAGAAGGAAGGCTAAGATCCTGTTACCAAAGACCTTAGGTGAAGCCCGGGACTGGAAGTGATTGCTTAGTTGCATTGCTGTTCAGAACCACAAGCTCCTAAGGCAGAACAGGAGAGGGGGAGGCGCAGAAAAAAAAGATAGTGGTGGGCTGTGAGTGAGGGAGTTTTCCGACCTGTCGTCATTTTGCTACCTAGTGGACGCCGGGCACAGAGCGGTCATCTTCGACCGATTCCGTGGCGTGCAGGACATTGTGGTGGGCGAAGGCACTCACTTTCTCATCCCGTGGGTACAGAAACCCATCATCTTTGAACTGCCGCTCTCGACCCCGTAACGTCCCGGTCATCACTGGCAGCAAAGGTGAGTGGCGCCAGGGTCCAAACCTGGGTTGGATGTGCCACCATGCTCGGTTCCACGGTCGGCATGGCATGCAATACTGGGGATTGAACTTGGCGTTTGCCAGGCAGGCGCTCATGCCTCCGAGCTGTCTCCCCAGCCCTGTACCTATTTCTGAAGGTGTTACTAGGTGCCTCTAGAGATGAGGGGCTTGGGTGTACCTGTGTTTTTTTCTGGCCAGACTCTATCTCATGGCCACTTAGTTCATGTTGTGAACAAGCTACGGCACACATGACTTGGCTTGTCATCTGAAAACGTTCAGTGTCCCAAATGTTGCATGGCACCCATCAGACACATCCTCTGGCTTGTTCCTATCAGAGGACGCTCGGGACATGTTGAAAAGCGTCATCACCAAGTCTTTTTAAGAATTTCCCAAGCCAGGCATGGCGGTGCACACCCGTAATCTGAACACTTGAGAGATCGAGATGGGAAGATCGCTGCAGGTTTGAGGCGGGCCTGTGCTGCCTCGTGAGGCATTTCCTAACTTGACAACACTCTGAGCTTCTCCACCAAGGAAACCAGGCACACCTGCCCAGTGCCCCTTCGGGTCGTAACCAGAAGCTAGTTTGCTTAGAAATGGTAGCAGGTGTAGGCTCAGACAGGTGCTTCCTCTGGGGCTCTAACCCCAGCGCTTGTCCTTAAGATTTGCAGAATGTCAACATAACCCTGCGCATCCTCTTCCGGCCCGTCGCCAGCCAGCTGCCCCGCATCTTCACCAGCATCGGTGAGGATTATGATGAGCGCGTGCTGCCGTCCATCACCACTGAGATCCTCAAGTCCGTGGTGGTGAGTGGCGGGCATGCCACAGAGGGCAGCAGGGCCCGTGCTTTCCTGCCTCCTCCCTGACCACACCTGCCCTGTGCCCACAACCAGGCTCGCTTCGATGCCGGTGAGCTGATCACGCAGAGAGAGCTGGTCTCCAGGCAGGTGAGCGACGACCTCACGGAGCGGGCAGCCACCTTCGGCCTCATCCTGGATGATGTATCCTTGGTAAGCTCTGCTAGAGGTCTTGGGGCGGGGGGTCCACTTCCTGCAGAGCCTGGCTCATGCTCTGGGCTGGACTCTCCCAGGTGCAAGAGTCCAGAAGGAGCCGCTCCCAGGTGTTTTCACTGAAATTGCATGTGGGGCGAGGGGTTACTAGGAATTGAACTCAGGACCTTCCACTTGCCAGGGAGGCACTTGTGGTGCTGAGCTATGTCCTCAGCTCTTTTCATTTGAGAGTGTCCCCCCTCTCCACTACACTCATTTTTCTTACAATCGCTGGTTGTCATTGGAGGGTCTCTGAGTACTATGAGTACTCCCCAGAAGGGTTCCAAGAGCCTGCTTAATGGGGGGAAGGGTGCCGCACCTAGTAGATATCAGAGGACAGCCCCAGGGGTGGCCTTTCTTGCTGCATCTGCCTCCTGCCTGATCCTGGGCACTTCCAACAGTGGAGGCTGGAGCCTGGGGAAGCAAGTCTGTCCCCTGGCAGTGTGGTACAGGGACTATCCCTGTGGTCCCTTGAGAACTTACCGTGTGTGTGTGTGTGTGTGTGTGTGTGTGTGTGTGAGAATGAGTGTGTGTGAGTGAGCAGCTACCAGCAGGGTAGCGTGTCAGGTGCAGCAAAGGGGTTGAGTTTCTGGCCTCCCTGGGAAAGCTCTTTGCAGTGATGTGCTCGGGCGGTGAGGTAGGGTTTCCTATCCGGGTCTCCTGTGCACTGCTGGGGAATGCGCAGCTTCCCCTCCGCGCCCGCAGCTGTTTAAACAGTGGTTCTCAGCCCCCTGCCTAGGCTTGCAGGCCTCAGCCCCTCCTGGCTGCGATGCTCCAGGGGGGTGGCACGTGGTGCCCCCTCCAGGCAGCCCACCAGGCTGCAGCACCGCCATACACTAGCTGTGAACCTGAGCACCCAGGGGGAGCTGAGGGCCAGGAAAAAGCCTGCGGTAGCAAAACTTGGCGTTTTGCTACCCTAGGACCACACGCTCCTTTCTGGGGAGATGTGGCTGACCACAGAAGCCATATCTAAGAGGTGTGAGGAGAAAATTAGATTTCCTGGGGAGTTTGCTGCCCTCAGCTGGGCCTCGGAGAAGGAAATTTTATTCCTTAATTACATATTTCATTTTCCATTCCTCAAGATCCTGTTTTCTTACCCAGACATCTAGTAAGAATCCCAGAGTGGGTCGGGCAGCGTAGCGCAGCTGCAGTTTTGGAATTAGGTGTTAATGCTTGTGGAAGGCACGCAGGTGGGCGCGACTCCTCAGGAGGAGTCGGGCTGCTTAGATGTTCAGAAAGCAGAGGTCGGCGCAGATGTGATGCCGTGAGCCCGCAAGCCCAGCCCCGGGAGGCTGACGCGGGAGATCGCAGCAAGGTCAAGGCTCTAGTACAAACACCACAAAAGGCAGCTGCGGGCAAGGTGGACGAGGAAATGAAGCAAGTAACACTCGGTGGCAAAACCAACGCTCTTCTTCCCTCTGTCTCCTTTCCCAATAAAGTGGGGTGTAGGGCCAGGGAGATGGCTCAGTAGAATAAGCGCCTGCCTGGCAAGCACAGGGTCCTGAGTTCAATCCCTGGTACTGCAAAAAAAAAAATAAAAAATAAAGTGGGGTGACTAAGGAGCTCGATCCAGCCAGGCAGGCATGCTGAGTGCTGTTTCCTGGTATTGGTCCCATCTGTAGAGACGGTCGCCTCGGCCAAGTCCTGGTTATTTATGTGACCAGGGAAGGCCTAGGTAATCAGACCAAAGACCTCACCCTGGCCAATGGCTTTACCTGCCTTCTCTTCTAAACTCTTTCCAGAAGTGCTCGCAGACGGGCTCGCGGGGTCTGCGCCCTGTCTCCCTGGCCTCTTCCGGTGGACTGCGGCAGTGCCGGGAGGAAGCGGGCCTGGTTAATTCATAAGCAGGGCCTTGGCTCTGGATCCCTGAGAACTGGCTGCATCCCTGGCTCTCAGGGGCTCAGTTTCCGTCTGGCTTCCCCCAGGTCTTTGTGCAGGGCACCAGGGGATCTTGGAAGCATGCTAGCTGGGAGTCCTGAGCCCCCGTATCTCCTCCAGGGAGGCACAAGGTTGAGAAGTTTCTTCCTGCTGCCCCAGGCTCCATGAGAGCCCCAGGGGGCATTCTCTACACCAGGTGGCCTTCCCAAGGGTGACGGCAGCATGTGGGGACAGCCAAGGCCTCTGGAGTGTGGACAAGTCCATTGGGGTCGAGGGTGGCTGAGATTCCTCCAGCGGTCCTGGCCCCGCCTCAGCCCGCACTCTCTCCCCCAGACGCATCTGACCTTCGGCAAGGAGTTCACAGAAGCCGTGGAAGCCAAACAGGTGGCTCAGCAGGAAGCGGAGAGGGCCAGATTCGTGGTGGAAAAGGTGAGCGCTTGGCCAGATGGCGGCCCCCTGCCCCGCCTCCCCAGCTCTGCTGGGTGGCCTGGAGATTCATCACTTGTCATCTCCTTCCGGGATCACCGGAGGAGGGAAGGAGCCGTGCTCCCAAAATCGGTTCCAGAGTCTTCGGGGGCTCATCAGGCACACGTGAAGGGTCATTGTGTTCCCACTTGCCCAAGATCAAAAACTCTCTCCTACACATAAAAATGTTACTCCTGGAAGACTTTCAGCTCCACTGAGAAGTCATTCTTAACCGTGGTTACATAGTGAAAGCTGACAGCAAAAGAGATCAAACATTGCACCAGATGTGCTTATCGGCCCTGGATTTTTTCCTTGGGCTAAACCCATCCAGATGTGTCCAAGTGTGACGGAACACAGTGTATTTGCATTTGCGCAGCAGCCTGGGCTTCCCCGTTTGTGGAGAGGAGGATTTATTTGCTGTCCCTCTTCCCACACCAGTGTTCCTAATCCAAGACCTTTTAATCCTTCAAATCAGGGAGAAAGGGGAGGGCGGCTTTGACTTGTGAGACTGCAGGTGGGGACATGTTGTACCTTGTGATGAGTCCAGCACTGAGCCCAGGGGCGCTCGGTGCGCAGTCTCCACCAGGACAGTAAAGTGATGGTGGCCTGAGTCTGCGTGTGGGGCCGGGTGTGGCTCGGTGGCAGAGCCTGCGCCTGGCAGGTACAAGGCTGGGGTTGCTGCACTCAAAAAGCCAAAATGATGCCTGTGTGTGGGTTTTGCAGGTGTTCCGTACTGTGCTCCCCTCCCACGCTCTAAAGGTCCCCATGTCCTCAAGGTCCTACCTGCTTCTTTTTTTTTTTTTTTTTTAAGATTTTTTTTTTAATTTTATTTATTTGTGTGTGTGTGCGTGCGTGTGCGTGTGTGAGTGTGTGTGTGTGTGTGTGTGTGTGTGTGTGTGTGGCCAGCTCAGCCCACCAGGGGGCGGGCAGTGGTTCCTGTGCTTTGCTAAGCTTGTTCTAAGTAGGTGCTTTAGACCACTGAGCCATCTCACCAGCCCCGCTACCTGCTTCTGATGGAAGCTGTTTTGACTTCAGATGAGAGTAGAAGATGAGCCTGAGGATTTATTCCCCTCTTGTGTTTTAAGACAGCCTGTGTAGTCCAGGCTGGCCTTGAACTCACTATGTAGCCCAGGCTGTCCTCAAAATTGTGGCAGTCCTCCTGCCTCAGCCTCCTAAGTGCTGGGATTAGAGATGCCAGGCTAGGACAGCTATTTGTGTAGCCCCCCAAGCTCATCCCTGCTGTGCAGAGAATCAGGGAAGAGGGGGACAGCCACCAGTGACCCTGCAGGGTCTCCATCTCTTCCCCCCTCTGCTCCTACAGGCCGAGCAGCAGAAGAAGGCGGCCATCATCTCTGCAGAAGGCGACTCCAAGGCAGCCGAGCTAATCGCCAACTCACTGGCCACTGCGGGCGACGGCCTGATCGAGCTGCGCAAGCTGGAAGCCGCCGAGGACATCGCGTACCAGCTGTCCCGCTCACGCAACATCACCTACCTGCCGGCGGGTCAGTCGGTGCTCCTGCAGCTGCCGCAGTGAGCCAGCCCCGCGCCCCGAAGAAACGCAGGCACGCACGGCGCCTTCTTCCGTCCCCCCAGAAATGAATCACTGTGACATTTCATGATTGAGCTAGAGTGACAGAAATAAAAGCAAAATCACTTCCACCCTCCAATTCTCCAACGAAGCTCTTTGGTTCTTCCCATGCCCATCTATTTTTTATCCACCTCCCTACCAGAAGTTGTCACATGGCTCCAAAGAGTGGCTCCGGCTGCGGGCGCCCCGGCCTGGGCACTGGCAGGGCACTGACAGTGGCAGGATAAAGGCGGGGCAGTGTGGCAAGGAATAGGGGCGCGCTGCTGGCCTTCCCAGGAGGCCGGAGCCCCCTCCCTGTCCTTTAGTGAGGATTCAAGGACCAGTGGAAGGAGGCAGCTCCCTGGAACGGGGCCCTACAGATGTGCAGGAATCTACCCCTGCGGAGGTGGGTGGGCCGCACCTCGCTGTCCCCTGGGGTCCTAGCACCAGCATGGACCTGGATCGCCAGCGAGAGGGGCCCAGATACGTCCTGCCGGAGGCTTCGCCCCAGTGCCTGGCGGAGTCCCAGCCTGAAGCATCCCGTGTTCCGCTCCTCCCCGGGTGCGCTGGGGCCCCAAGGAATCAATCATGGGAAGAAAGTAAATGTGTAAACCGCGCTGTCAATAAACAGCACCCAGACCTTCCAGCTGTGGTTCGGGTTGTTTCTTCTTCTTTTTTTTTTTTTTGGTGGAATGAGAACAGAGCGTCCTAGCAGTCTTTCCCCGTGTGTGTTCCTGTCACTAGCTGGGGTGGAGCAGTGAGATGGAAATGTGCTCTCAGAATCCAGCCCCCGCCGGAAGCCTTGGTCAGTGAGGGTGGGCACGAGGTTGGTTCCTACGAGATAAGGGGAGGGAAGGTTAGCCCGCTATGCACTGGAACCCTCTGGGGGGGGGGGCCCGGATGCGGGCTCTGCAGCGCCCCCACGCGGGGAGAGAGACGCACGCAGCTTCAGCCCTGACTTTTCGTTTGTGTGGCTTGGTGGTCTGGTCTGGTGATGGACCCTTGAGAGAGATCAAGGGAACACGCTGGGGCTGGTGGTGAGGGAGACGGCAGACTTGGAGTGGACCAATGAACCCCTGCCAGCCCCAGGCAACTTTGGGGAATCTCTCTGACCTCTGTCCCCAGGTGCTTAGTCACCACCAGCCCCTGTCCACCTGGATTCTGCATTTCCTCTCCCAGAGGGCAGGGCCAGCACAGCTGGACGGGGCGTCCGGATGTGCAGATTTGGGGTGAGCCGAGGGTCAGTTTCTTCCAGCACCCTGCAGCCTTCCCTCCCAGGCTCAGCAGAGTAGACCCCTCCCATTCCAACCCGGCTGGCAGCTCCGCCTCCGCCACCACCACCCAGTCATCTCTCTGCCACCTCTGTCCCATGGCATCCATCTAGGGCACGGGTAGAGTAGGCCTCGGGCATCTCTTTCCTGCAGTGGGCGCTTTTGCTGTAGGAGTGGTGCGGCCTGTGACCATGAGAGGCCCGCGCCCTAAGCGTAATTCCTAAATAAATTCCAGGCCAGCGTGTACTCCTCCGCACTCCCACGGCCTTCCTCCTTGCTTGCCCTTTATTGCTTGCACACCCTGCGGGGTGGGGGCTGCAGGCTCCTCTGTCTCCCAGGCCCTTTTTAGAGAACCCCTGTTTCCTGCATTTGGCGGGAGAGATTGAGTTTCACCCACCAGGTGTGGGGAGCCCTGAGCCACACAGCAGCCACGCACAGCCTGGGGTCCTCTGCCCCACCAGCCCTTTGGGTGGCAAGCTGGCCAGAGACACCTCCCAGGGGCAGGCTGGGGCCCCGTCTGCCGTAACTTCCTGACTTCCTGACTTCCGGCAAGTAATTCTTTTCACAAACGTGCAAGAGCGCTTAACTGGCTTCCTAGCCCAGCAGCCCCTGACTGCTACTGCGTTTCTCAGGCTCCCACAATGGGCCTTTATCAACCTCTTGCTCTGGCCCTGCAACCAAAGCTTGTCCTCGGCTGGCCAGCAAAGCAGGGGCAGGAAGTGTCTTCCTCCCTCTCGCCCCCAGCCAGACTGAATAGTGCTCTTGTTCAGGCTGCAGGGGCTCAGGCAAGCTGGCCGGGGACCTGGACGAGGAGGGAGAGTCCCCAAAGGCTCACCATGCGCCTCATCTCTGCAAGTTCTCCACGTGTGCGCTGGGTGGGGCGAGGGTTGTGTCATCCACAGGTGGGTTTATCTGAAAGATGGGGAGCTGGGCGTGGTGGCGCCCTCCTGTTATCCCAGTGCTGTTGAAGGTCAGCCTGGGATCCGTAGTAAGTCCGAGGTCAGCCAGAACTGTATATCGAGACTCTGTCTCAAAAAACAAAACGAGTGGGAAAAGAAAATGGACCATTAGGCTAATCCTGCCCTCTTTTGCGGCACCGTTCTAGTGACTTCGAAGATCATCGGAGCTGTGCCATTGTGACTCTCCTGGGCCTTTGCCCGTGCCAGAAGCTGTGGGTGAAGCAGCCAACCTGAAGGGAAATAACAGGGGTGAGGGGGCCTTGGGGACTCCCCTGGGTCACCTATCCTGCACACAGCTTCAGACTTCACTTGGCCAAAACAGGGCTTCTCACTTCTGAGGAGCCTACGGCAGCCACACCAGCTTACTGGGGCACAGCAGCTTGTGCTGGCCTTTGAGGCCTCCTGTGCTGCCTGCCCCTTTCCAGCCCCCACCCCGGGTGTCAGGGTGGGGCACATTGTTTGGAGGTGCAAGTGGGCAAAGACAGTGGCTCCCAGCAAAGGGAGAAGAGGCCATGAGGCCAGCTTGGTCAGTAGCGCCCCTACTGAAGATGCCCTGGGCGGGGTCCTTGCTGTCCTCAATGCTCCATGGTTGGGCCGCACCCCACTACTTATTCACCCCAGCCTGGCCTCCCAGGTCCAGATGCCCCAATCATAGCAGCTCAAGTTCCTTCTCTTCGACCAAACTGCTGCCTGTGGCCCCTCCTCCACAGCCCATGACCTCCTGCTTGCTTGGACAATGTGGCCACAGTCCTGTTGGGCATTCACCTGTCTCCACTAAGCTGCAGTTGAGACACATGCACGCATGCATATGTGTGTGTGTGTGTGTGTGTGTGTGTGTGTGTGTGTGCACCCTCTATTCCATTCTAAAATCAGAGAGGCCAGGGGACCCTTCCTCTTCTTCCCCCAATCCTTCCCCAACACAAGTGCACCTGGCTCTTGGGGAAATCGCTGAATGTTCACCCAGTGAATGGAAGCAGGGGCAGGATGTGCAGGACTGGTAGAACCAAAGGCTGGGCTGGCCAAGGTGTTGCACATTGGTGATCTCAGCTCTCAGGAGGCTCAGGCAGGAGGATTGCTGCAAGTTCAAGGCCCACCTGGACTACGCAGTGAGTTCAAGGCCAGCCTGAACTACAAATGGAGACCCTATCTCAAAAAGAATAGAAATCCTCCTTCTCCAGGAACCCACCTCCGGTTGATTTCTCCCAAGGAGGAGCTGTACAGTCTTCCATTTCAAAGGAGGCATGGACCAGGGAGCTCCTGCTACACTGAAATTGAAGACTGAACAATAAATAGCGACGAGGCCTGCTGCAGCTGGTTGGCTCTGGGTGCTTTGGCAAAGCCTGGATGCGCGCAGCTGGGAGAGGGTGGATGGAAATGTACTAGGCCTGGGAAACCAGCCTGAGGTCGGAGGAGCACACCCTGGCCTATGATATAGGCCACATGGAGAGGACGGTTCCTCTCCAGTGCCCTCTGACCAGCTTCTATTAGAAGAGTTAATGAAACCAAGAGAATGAGGCTACTTTGGGGCAGTTTAAAGCTGTCATTGTCCTTGGAGCCCACAACAAACCTGGAGTAGCTGGAGAAGCCCTTCTTTCCAGAGCAGTGGGGGAGGTGGTTTTGCACCAGGGTCAGAGATCCTCTGACCTCTGGGGACTTGAGGACTCTCTTTCCTTTCTAATTCCTTCCCATGTGTGGCTCCCATTTCCATCTTCTGCCATTCCAGAAACACATGCAAGACTGGGCATGGTGGTGGACCCCTATAATCCCAGCATGTAGGAGGCTGAGGCAGGAAGGTTGCTGCAAGTTCAAGACCAGCCTGGGCTCCATAGTTGGGACCCTGTCTTGAAAAAAGAATGGGAGGAAAGAAGAAAGGGAGGGGGAAAAGGAAGGAAGAAAAGAAAGAAGGCACAGAGAACAGCAGCGGGTATGAGGCTGCGTGCTGGGATTCCAGCTGAGCCTGGGACACAGTCAGGTACTTAGGGGCAGTTAGATTGGTTTCTGACAAAAAGCCCTCCTGTATGGGAATCCACCTTTCAGATTCCAGGGTTGTCCCCTTTCTGAAGCTAATCCTTTGAAGTCTGGGGTCCCGTACAGGGACAGCGCGCCTCTGGCTTCATGGACCATGCAATGTCTGTGGCAACTACAAGACACTACGGTAGCTCGGTTCCAGTGAGTGGAACTTTCCCGTGAATGGACACTGAGCCTGAGTTTCATGTCATTTCTGCTGGGCACTAGATGTTAATTCTTTGATGTTTTGTAGCCATGTAAAAGCCATCCCTAGCTTACAGGCTGTGGCAAAACAGGCAGGCAATAACAGTGGCTCTGCAGGCTCTAGCCGTCAACCAGAAGTGTGTGCAGCTTCGGAACACGGCCATAGATGGCAGCCAAGCCTTTCACCCGAGGGGGCTTTCCGACCACTCCAGCTTGTTGTGGGCTGCGGGGTGACCAAAGCAGCCGTCCTCTCGGCCTCATTAATGCGTCTAGAGCAGGGGTCAGAGGGTGCCGCAAATAGTCCTCCCCATGCGGCCACGTCATAGGCCAGGGTGCTCTCCTCTGACTGCAGGCTGGCTTCCCCAGGAACAGTACAGCAGAGAGTCCCAGAAACTGGGGGCTCTGGGGGCTCAGTCTCGGGCCGAGGAGTCTCTCAGGATGACCCTGCATGTCCCGGCCGCAGCAGAACCCCCAGGGCTCCCCATGATGGGCTGCACCCCAGCTCTTCACTCCCCGGCTTGCAGGACACACGGGTTTTTGTCTCTGGCCTGCAATCTCAGCTTTCCTTTGTGGTGGCCAGGCGCTCAGCGTGAAGTGCCATTTCCTGCTTCCCGGTCCCTCCCCACCTTCTCAAGATCTGCTTCCTCAGGACT